AGACATAAGTGAGTGGTTTGGGAGGGAACTTACAGAACAGGGAGGTTGTAAATGACAAAAGAGGCATACCATTGAAATGCCAACTGAGAGCACCTCTTGGTAGGCAGGGAGCGGGGTCAGTGCCCTATTCAGGAAGAATGGAGTCTTAGAAGAATTTGTGGCCTTTGATAAACTCTGAGTCACTCAGATCAGTGTGCCCGTGATCAGGGCCAGGGACCTGCAGGAAGTCCTGGCATTTGGACTCCTTCCAGTATCCTTGGCACATTTGTGAAGTTAACCTCAAAATACCCAGGCCCAACTCTGACCCACCCCTTCAGGGTGGCGTGAGCTTATAGAATTACCAAATGAAAGGAAAATCCTGTTAACAGATACTACATTCTAGAAATAAACTGAAATAAAGTCAAGCGTGAATGCTGTTAAGAATATAGGCCTGAAGAGAGAAAAGATGTAGTCTAGGCCTAAGACTAACATTTAAATGGCTGTGTAAATCTCTGCACTTCATTTCCTTAAGTGGTGCCAGCTCCCTGGACACTACGTTAAAATGTTCTGTAAACTGAATGGTGGAGGCAAACGGACCAAATCTATCTGCCATGTTCTATAAACTGGGAATGATGAAGCCCTGAGCTAACGTGCAGCTGTAGCACTACCACCCTTGGAGATGAAAAGAATCAGAATCATCTGAGGCCTTCCCTGAACCTCCTCCTTCACTGTGTACCTGCAGAAGAGTCAGACAGAAGTCTCTCCTGACAAGTAAGCAGATCCTCTAAGGGGCAGAAACAGGGCCCGAACAGAGTTGGTTGTTTTTTATACTTATATTTGTGTTCTTCTCTTGGCCAGTTTTTCATACCTGATCAGGGCTCAGCAACCCACATGGGATCTTCCCTGATGGTTACTCAGCTGTACTCAAAGCATAAGCATCAGGGAGAGAGAGAAACAACAGTGCCTGAGAGAAAATGACCTCCTCTTAGGATCCATAGGGTGGCCTGAGGTGGAGTGGAGAACTCGCCACCTCTAGGATGCCCTCCTTCCTTCCTACTTCATCCCACTCCCCTCCTGCACCCACACAGATCAGTGTCACTGGTCAGTGTCACTAAGAGCAGGGGAGTTTTTTTCCATGATGAGACAGCTCAGTTAAAGAATTTAAGTCAAGCAAAATACCAGGGCTTGAACCAGCTTACAGAAAAGCATTTTAATTGACAGTGTACAATTTCTCAAAATATATTTTTATAAGAAAATGCAATAATTAACTATAGTCTTTACAAACAAGTTTCTCAGTAAATTCCAGTGTACTTCAGACCCCTGTCCACTAAGACACATGCTCCCCCAGTCTCCTGGGCAAATTATTTTTAACATTCACTAATAAAAACAAAACCCCATGAAATAGTAATCCCCTGCTTTCCCTGGGTGTTGGGAATCAGCGCAACATTGACGAAAAGTAGGCTCTGGTTTTCTCTTGCGCTGCCTTCCCTGACTTGTTCCCTTTGATCCTCAACTACAGGAAGGTTTCCTAAGGGAGAGCTCACATAACATGGTTTCTTGGCAGAAAGAATTGCTCATTTACATCTTAGACCTATATGATGTAGTGACATAAAATAGGAACATCGCTAGACTGTTAAAACTGCTGTCACTCTGCATCTCTGGCCTTGTTAGGGTAGTTTGGGGGAAGAAATGGTGTCATGTCTGTGTCAACCTGCCTGCAAGTGGCAGTCCTTAGTTCCCTGATTTCTTTGGAGGCACACAGCATGGGACCATCAATGGATCCAGGCTTTAATCCTGTTTCTGTCACTTTGTCTATGTGGGCTTCAGGTTTATCTGTGGAAAAAGACTGGACTAGATCTCTACATCTCTGTCCCTGTGACCAGAGTATCACTCTTCATCTAGTGCACCTGACCCTAGCCCTTACTGGCATGGGACTGACACTTGGTGGGAGAAGAGATCATATTTTAAAATGAAAATGCCCAATCTGCAAGACAAATATTTTGTCCCCAGCCTGTCTTATTGAATATTTTTGTTGTTAAAAAAGAAAACAAAAACTTGCCATTTCTAGTAAGATAGACATTTACATTCTTGTTCAGAGAAAAAAAAAAGCCTCGCCATCTCCCTTAGCTAATGGATTTATTTTCAAAGTGTATTTACTTAAAAGCAGTGCAGGGTAGATTAACATGGCTGTTGTATTTACACTGTCAAAAATATGTATATCTATATATCAGTTTGAACTTATTCAAAGTTTCTCCAGTATGTTGTCAAAAAAAAAAAAAAAAAAAGGTAAAGCTCAAAAATGGTTTAAATAAATCTTCCAATAGTTTTTCTTAAAAAGCAGTGGGCATACCCGGTGTCTACTAGATTAAACCCGGACTCCGCCTTCCAGTGCAGACTTGTCTGTACGTGCTACTCTCCCACTCACAAGGCAGCATGCTGCCCACTGAGTTTCATCCAATCAAAATCTTCAGATCTATGGTTTTTGTAACTTGGGGAATTATCAGATTCACGGTTTTTGCAGCATGGGGAAACAGTGGTTTGCCACTGAAATGGAGTTCTTAAATTCTCTTTGGTACAACTGGTTCAGAGTCTTGCTAAGCCTCTGGTGTTGCCATTATCTCTTCTTGGCCCCAGAATCTGAATTATCAGACAGCACTCAGACTCAGCCATGTGGGAAGATGAGTTTTACACTTGCTGGTGGCATGGCCTGTTGATATAGAGATCCTAGCAGCAAGAGCGAGCCAACGCCAGGTGTCAGATCCGAAGTGCCACTAAAAGCACAATTTGGATGCACAAAAAGAAGGAACCTCTCAGTCAGCCCAGTGCTTCCCCAGGTTCTCCCTGGATAAAACTGTGTTCACTGCCCCTGACCAGGCATGGTTTCTGCTCTCTAGTCTTCACAGTCGTCATCTCTAAGAGGCCTTGGGGCTGCATCCTTTGATCATTTGCAGAAGCAATATTTGCTGTCTCTGTCAAAAGCCCTTGCCAGTGAATGTGACCCAGAATCAGCAAAAGAGCAATAATCCAGTCTGGCCTCTCATAGGCCATGACAGAAACCCACTGGACAGACAGAACCCTGGGCAGAAAGGAAGCAAACAGACCTCTCTCCGTTGTCCCAACATTCCCTCTCTTTCTCCTCCAATTGGCACTGTTCCCCATCCTGCCCACCTCCAAATACTAGTGACAGAAGAGCAGAACAGATGCATTTGGATACTGGTAACCTAGCATCTCTCGAGCTCTTGGAAAACTTCCTGGGTACAATCCATGATCACCTGGACTTCCCTGTTCCCTAGGATATTTAATGACTACAGGCCTCAGAGCAGGACACAAGGAGCTAGGAAAGGATAGACCTTTCCCCTTTGTCCCCCATCTATTCTGTTTTAAAATAAACTGTTCCAATGCAGATAGCTGGTTCCAGGGAATTTATGCCCAGGAACATACAGGCCATGGCCAGAGTTCAAAACTCCATGCAGGAGTTCCCCTCTCAGAAAACCAGATGAAGCCTCACTATGCCCCATCCTCAGTTACCTTCTACAAGACAGCTAACTGCTGAGCCTAGAAAACCCTGTGCTGGGGAACAGACATGGCTTTGTTTTCCTGAGATGCCACCAGAAACAGAACTGCAGTAGCCCCACCAGCAACACAGGGGAGAGGAAACAGCAAGGCCTAGCTCCATGCCAGAAGAGTGGGAAGTCAGGCACCTTAGAGTGCACTCATGTCCTGGCTTTTCTCTCTCTCTGGAGAATCAGAATCCATGAGGTGAGCTAACTAAGAGTCTCCAGTAGCTGAAGCTTTGGCCTTTGACACTGGAGTGCTGAATTTAAAAAAAACAAATACAACAAAACTCTCAGCAACTTGAAAAGTCCCTGAGTATCCTGTGAAACAAGTAACACCTGTCTGCCAGCAGTTTGATGAATCGATTGTCTGTTCAGGCACACCTCTGCTGATCGGGATGGGGGTGGGAGGCCTGCACAGATCTGTCTCACCACTCTTGCCCTTTCTGGCTGGGCCTTGTGGGATTCATCCATTGGCTGAGCAGTGACCAAAAAGAAACATCTTACTTTCTGTGGCTACTGCAGATTTTAATCCCTGGTGGGAGCAGAAGGCCAAAGGAGATCTTGGAGAGCGTCCATTTTCAAGGGGTGCTTGGGTAATGGGCCAGTGTCATTTCTGAGCCCTGAATCAGCTGCCATGAGGAGGCAACCCTGGGATGAGGAGCTCCCCTCTTCACCTGCCCACTGCTCCCGTGAGCGGGCCTCAAGCACACTGGGAGGCCTCTGCATCGTTAAATGGATGCAAAGAAATCAGAATCCAGGAAAAGAGGTTCAAGGTGATGAATGACCTGTGCTGATCCCTGGTGCCCTGGGGCAGAGTGGGACTGAAAACTGAGTGAAAAGGAGTGAGAGGAAGAGGAGAGGAGGGAGAGGAGAGTACTGGCAGGTGAAGCTGGAGTCAGAGATAGAAACACGGGACCTGTCCTTATAATCAGATCCCACTGAAAAGGGTACAGGCCAGCTCTCCTCCCTAGCCCACCTACTATCGGGAGTGTTCCCCTACCCAGGGCTGCTCTGGAGAGAGGGCACAAGTGAAGAGCAGTGTGCTTGGTACAGATGAGCCCTGGAGTGAAGGGAGGAATCTGTCACCAAGTAACTGTGACCTTGTGCAAGTCGCCTACCCTCTTCAATCCTTAGTTATCTCACTTGGGAAACGAGGGGATTGTTCTAGAGTCTGAGATCCTTTCCATGACTCTTCGTCCATCTCCCTTCTCATCCTCCAGCAGCGCTGAGCTCAGGCACTAGTGGGTTACTTTACAAGAGGGATCTAGACAACAGGATATGATCGGCTTGAAAAGGGAAAAAATTAAGGCCCTATGGGGATTGGGAGGTAGCAACCCTTGAAGTCCACTCTTCCTCCCCCAGTCTTTCCCTCCTCAAACGGAGGAATTTTCCCCCTCTGTCCAAATGGCACTTCAGGTGGTCAGTCTGGAGCCTGTGGCACTATCGAGGCACCAGCAGACCCAGTTAGAGATGTGTGTCTTCCTCATCTAGGTCATCCTTGGTCAGGTTGTCCAGAGGGACGATCCAGCTGTCCCCCAACTCCCCATTAAGGTTCACCACCTTCTTCTCCTGCATCTCGGAGGAGGTCTCCATCACTTCCAAGGTTGGGTTGTCATGGTAACCATTCTCCACTGTCTGTAGCTCCTCTGTGAGTCGTTGCTAGCGTGGGGAAGATGACCCAGGGAGAAAGAGTAATTTTGGAGGGTTATAACCCTTAAGTTTTTCTTTCTTTCTTTCTTTTTTTTATTTTTCCTTTGCAATATTGGAGATCAAACCCAAGACTTCAAGCGTGCTAAGCAAATACTCTATCACTGAGTTATTCCCCATTCCTTTTTATTTTATTTTGAGACAAGGTCTCAGTTGGTTGCCAAGGCCGAGCTCAAACTTGCAATCCTGCCTCAGCCTCCCCCGTAGATGGGATCACAGGTGGCACACGGTGCCTGGCTTAATATAGTGTTAACATGTGCTACCTCCTTCGACTCAGGGAACCCAATTTGACTAAAGCAAGCACTCTGCTCACATGTAGGTGCTGGCTGTCACCCTGGCTACAGGCCTGCCTCACACCCTAAAATTCCCCAGTGGTCTCACCATCATCCCGTGGGCAAGTCTGAATCGCTGATGTCAGCGAACATGGACTTTGTTCTCCAGGACCTACTAAGTATTTTCGTCTCTCCTCCATTACTTTCCCTCAAAACCTCTCCAAGCACCCACATTACCCCCATAGTCGTGGATTGAGCAGTACTATGAGAAAATGACCTCCCTTCAGGCCAGGTGACCAAGGACCTCTCTCCAAGCCTGGACAAGACAGGTAGGGCAGTCACCATGGGCATCCCTGCTGCAGCAATGGGACAATCCCGTCCCCCCTCTCTCTCAGATTTGGCTCTGACTGCATGTTAGAATCACCTGGGCAGCTCTGAACACATGCTGACCCAGAGATTGGGTTTCAGGTGGAGCATGAGGAAGCTAGGCATGAAAATTTTCCCAAAGCTCCTTCAAGGGGCACTCGGGGGAAAACCACAGATCTGGGTGGAACTGAAAGATAAAGAGTTTAGCAGATGAGAGAAGTTTGGTGAGACAGCACACACAGGGCCATTTATTTCAATGCCCAGAACAGCTCTGCAAGATGGAAACTGTCTCTACTGTGTGGGAACAGCTGAAGCTCCAAGAGGTTATATGATGGACTCAAGGTCACACCAAGAACAGGGCTTCAACCTAATCTTTTTCTTCAAAAGTCCTGCTCTTGCCTCAGGCCATGGTGCCTCTTTCAGCAGCTGGCGGCTGCCTAGGCGGTGCTCTGCCTGCCTGAAGGGTCCAAGGCCACTCACTGTCCCCTGCTGGACTACAGGAGTGATAAGCCGAGAGCTTGTCTGGTGACTGGACTGCTTCCCTAGTCAGAGGAGGGATGTGCTCACCTGATCCTTCCTCTGGGAGAGTCGCTGGTGGCAGCAGCCATAGAGGGCCGCAACGAGGAGCAGGAAGGATGCCATGCAGACGATGGTGATGATGAGCGGCATGCTGAAGCGGTCTTCAGCCTCCTCCGGCGGTCCTTCATCCCCCAGCTGCATGTGGCTGACTCCCACCTGGCCAGGTAGGAGACATCATGTGGCAGAGAACAGTCTTCGATCCCCGCTCCCCCAAGCCCCCCCCCGGGATGGAGAGCTCTTCCATCTGCTGCAGAAGCTTGCACGGGCAATAGCCCTGCCACACTGAGGGGTCGCTGGACTTGAGAGAGAGGCTCCTGATCCAGCCCTGCATCCGGAGCAGCCCACCTACCTCTCTTAGGTCCTCCCACTTGTCCTTCAGCAGGGTGTACACATTCTCAGGAAGGAGATTTGCTGTAGGAGAGAGGAGAGGTGCTGCCTCAGAGCCATGTGGTGGCAAGGGAGAGGAAGCCCAAGACAAGGGTGTTCTGCATGGTCCAGCCTCTTGGGGGGCCCTGAAAGGATGCGTGGCTTGACAGTTCCTAGCGGCACCACCCTGACCCACACTCCAAGCGGCCCCTGGACCGTCACCTCCCATTCTGTTCCCACCCACACAGGCCTAGGCCCTCTTGCCGTCAACTCACTTTGAATAGTGATTTTTTTGAGGGCCACCGCCTGGCTTTCCTGAATGGGAGCCAGCTGTACTGTACACGAATCCTGAGCCGGGTTGAAGGTGGCTTTGACTGCTTGGCACAGCTGTGTGACCAATCTGTCATCCGCTGGAGGGCTCTTTGCCTGTTGTGAGGAGAACACAGGCATTGCAGAGGGGTGTGACAACAGTCTAGGCTTGTGGGGCTGCCCTCTGCCACCCGCGTCCCTCTCCACACTCCACCAGTGCATTCCAAGCCCTGCCAGGAGTCGGTCTATATTCTTCAGCGCCTGGCTTCTCTGCCCCGAGTCTCCTCAGACTGTGGGCGCAACAGGGCCTATCTCCTCCATGTTCTTTGAGACTTGGGAATCAGTGCCCTGTACTGTGGGCAGGGGAACACAGCACAGCACCCCACCTCTGGCAGCAGGGGCTCCAGTGCTCTCTGAACTTGTCATTTGCCAGCCTCTCCTGCCCCTTTTGAAGACCGCAGGAGTGGAAGACCTCAGCTCTGGACTCAAGGTGGTCTAGTCCCAGAATGATGCACCTGTGTCCCTCTGAGGCTCGGACTGAGGCCGTGAACAGGCTGATGGGGAAGGCGAGGAGCCACTGAATGTGTGCAGAGAACATGGAGAAGCAGAGAGTACATGGCAACGTGGCTTCAGGGCTCGGGGTGAGGAATACAGTGCAGGGAGGTCATCAGGGCTCCCCTAGCTGATGTTTCTCTGACCTGCGTCAAGACCTCCATAAGCTACCCCTGGAGGTTAAAACTCTGATGGTCAAATCTATACTTCTGTAAGGTTTACCTAGAAAAGCCAACAAAATGGATGCCCAAGAAAAAGCACAATGGCAGAAAAGCTCTCCAACCTGTAGAAACCAAATCCTGTTCTAGACTAGTTCCTAGAGTGGGTGCAAAAATAGGCACTGGCCAGGAGAGGGCAGCAGTGAGCCAGCCACCACCTGCACTCACAAGGCTCAACAGCTATTCACTGAGCAACAGAACATCCCCAGCTCAAGTCCTTGGTCGCCCTCTCGCTCATACAGTGTCCACACATCACTCAGAATCGAACAACTACAGGCAGGGGCTCCCTTATGTTCAGTACCAGGACCCTTTTATCTCCCGCCCACCCCCCAACTCCTTGGGTTTGAAGAAGGAGACTCTCCCTAATGGCTTGCCACCACTGAGGCTCTCAGAAAACACATGGACCAGGAAACAAAGCCACTCTGAGAACAAGGGAAGTGAGGACGACTTAAATTCCCATTTCCAAACAGACCAACTGTCTGAAGTCACACCCAGAGCTAGAGGCAAAGGGCAACCAGGATCGGGGCCTCCTGCCCCTCAGACCACTGTGGGTAAGCACAGTGAAAGGGAGGAGACTTGGGAACTTGTTCTGGCCTGTGGCAGTCCTATCTGTGTGACCTTAGAGAAGTCTGAACCTTAGTTTGTTGCTCTGTAAGATGGCAAGGGGCAGATCCCTAGGTGAACACACCACCCGTTCTAGACGGAGCACTTTGGTCCCCTCTGCTTCCTTTCCCCTGCCAGCCTGCAGGCTGTGGAGGGCTGATGAGCAGTACTCACACAGGGGCTGGTTTCCGTGAGGTTCAGGATGAGCAGCTTCTTATCCAGCCTTTCAGGAGGCATGCAGTCTACCTGGAAAAAGCCATGAGAGGAAGGGTCAGGCCCAAAGATCCAAGGATCCTGTTCTCCTCCATCCCATGGGTGGTGATCAGTTCGTGGCAAGCTAGGGGCACGGCTGGGCCAGTTTAAAGTCAGGAATGTCTTTGGAAGCCTTAGGAAAAACCAGGGGAGATGGGGCAAATGGACAGTATTCCTCATTTTGCTCCTGGCTGGAGCGAAAATAGAAACAGCTTTTCTTGGAGCATGGGCTCTCCTTTTTGTCCCACCTCGCTGGAATTACCTTGGGCTTCCCAGGAGCCAGGGTGGAAGAGGTTGTGCTGAGGCCTTGGGGGGCAGCTGAAGCCGAACGAGTGCTGGAGTGGGTGTCTCCCCCAACAGTAGATGTGGCCCCAGTTCTTGACGAAGGACTGGACGAAGAGCCCTCAAGCGGAGATGTCATGGAGGAAGACGGGGTGGGCTTGGGTGGCATCTGGCTGGAGGTCTGCTGAGTTCCTTCTGGGGTGCATGGTGGGTGTTCCTTCTGGGGTGCTATGGTGGAGACTGAAGAGGCTAGAAGAATAAAAGAGCAGAGAAAAGTCCAGTCTTTTCTGGTTCCAGTGTGCAGAGGCAGGGGGATGAAGTGGTGTCCTGTACCATTTTACAGGACAGTCACACTGGACAAGCCAGTTTAAGAGCTAAGCCAAAGAGGCCCAGGAGGACTCAATGATTTTCCCAAGGTCATGTGGCAGCAGGTGGCACAGCAGGGAGTTGCATTTATCCAATTCAGAGCCTCTCACCATAGGAGAGGGCCACCCTCGCCCAGTGTGATGTTTCAAGATATATCTATGTTACCTGGGAGTGCCTGGATCTCCAGATTCTTCAGTCACTAGCCGAAGTTCCAATTCAGCAGATCCCAGATGGGTCAGGATTTTGAAGCTCATGATCCATCTGTAGATTTTTCTCCTGCCTCAATTTTTTTTTTTTTTTTTGATGGTACTGGGAATTGAACCCAGAAGCACGCTACCACTTAACTACAACCCCAGTCCTTTTTAATTTAGAGACAGGGTGTTGCTAAGTTGTTAAGGGTATCACTACGTTGCTATAGCCAGCTTCAAATTTGCAATCCTCCTGCCTCAGTTTCCCAAAATAGCTCACCCAGCTCCATCACTAGATTTTGAAATTATTTTACTAGGTTAAGATGGGCACTTGAGAAATCAGTTAATAAAAGGAAAAGGAAATGGAACAGAATTGAAAATATCAGCTTATATAAAAAGTCCTATATAGTGAAATTTGTTTCATTTATATGCATTATATGTGTTTTTTTTTTTAATTTATTATTTTTGGGGCGGCAGGTACCAGGGATTGAACTTGGGAGCACTCGGCCACTGAGCCACATCCCCCAGCCCTATTTCTTCTTTATATTTATTTGTTAGTTGTAGTTGCACACAATACCTTTATTTTATTTATTTATTTTTATGTGGATCAAGCCCAGGGCCTTGCATGTGCTAGGGAAGCGCTCTACCACTGAGCCACAACCCCAGCTCCCCCAGCCCTATTTTGTATTTTTTTAAAAAATATTTCTTTAGTTGTAAGGTGAACATAATACCTTTGTTTTATTTATTTTATTTTTTTATGTGGTGCTGAGGTTTGAACCCAGTGCCTCACATGTGCAAGACAAGCACTCTACCACTGAACTACAAGCCCCCTTTTTTGTATTTTATTTAGAGACAGGGTCTCACAAAACTGCTTAGTGTCTCACTGTTGCTGAGGCTGGCTTTGAACTCAGATCCTCAGGCCTCAGCCTCCCAAGGCACTGGGATTATAGGTGTGTGCCACCACACCCGGCTATATGTGTTTTTTTAGACCCTGATGTATTAAAGTGTGTTTCTTATGATGGGTTGTCATCGAACAAGTCTGAGGATCACCATTCTAGAATATTCTAACACCCTGCTGCCACCACCACAGTGCAGTCTTGCCTGTGTGTAGACGGTTGGCGTGTTTACCCTGGGCAGGCCAAAACCCTCGAATGTTGGCCTTGCTCATCAGAAATGGGAAACCAGCTCTGAGTGAAGGAGTGTCCTCATGTTCAGGTCTCAGCATAACCCTCCCAGAGAGAAACTGTATAGAGGAAAAAAAGCACAGAAAAGTTTCTTTTTGCTTGAAAAACAGTAACAAGTCGAGGCCCTACTTACTTTGTGTGGTGGGCAACACCTTGGATGTGGGGCTGCTAGTGCCAGGCGCAGGGCTTGAACCACTGGGGACCGAGGAAAGGCTGTGTTGTCCACTGGTAGAGCTCTCTGGGGTCTTCACAGTGACAGTGGTTGAATGGTGAGAGCCTGGGCTGCCAGGTAAAACCACAGGAGAGTGTTTTGTGGCAATGGACCCTGAAGAAAGAGAGCTCGACACCTCTGTTCTCTGAGTGGCTGTGGTGGATGTGGGAATGTGGCCAGTACTGCTGTCTCCAGGGACAGTTGTTCCTTTGTCCGTGCTCTGGAAGGTTGCTTTTTCAGTGTTGGTTAAAGTGGGAGAGGAAGGCGTGGTACTACCACTCTGTGTGACACTGGTGGTTGTAGAGACTGTAGTCACCGCAGGGGTGCTTGGCTGAGTTGGGTTCAAGGGCTCCCCTTCGGATGTGGATGCCGAAGAGTTGGCCGTGTTCGACTTGGTGGATGTCGCTGGGTCTGAAATGGATCCTGAAGTTTGGGGCTTCGCGCCTGAGACTGTGCTAGTTTTTACTGTGGTAGCCGGGGCTGCTGGTGGCGAGCCGTCCTTACCTGCTGCTGACAAAATAACACAGATCAAGACAGGGAACAGAGGGAGTTTTTTCTCTCTGCCGTCCTCTACCTCTGCCCTGGGATTCAGCGGCCTTGTTCCTATCCTGCCATTTGCCTTGCTGGATCCGTCATGAGTCCAGTTTTCTGGAATTCGAGAAACTTCTAGCAGGCATATTAGAGTGAAGCAGGGGAAGTAAAAGGAAGTTCCCCAGAAGAGAAGGAAGCCAGCGGGACAGGACGGCTGCACGCTGAGCTGGTGTCCCGCCCTCCCCACCTGGGCTCGGGTCAACAGCTCTGCCCCCCAGAAGATTCCAGACTGATGCTTCCTGAACTGCCCTGGCCCCGTTGCAACTATCCCAGGTCAGTCCCAACCTAGGAGAAACTGATGACCACGGGAGTCACACAAAGGATCGTTTCCATGCAGCTGTGGCCTGTGCCAAGGAAGAAGAGTGCAGAGTCTTGGGCTGTGTCCATCATGGTGGCTTAACCTCAAGTGGAAGGGGGTCAGGAAGGAAGGCCTTTTATTGGCTGATTTCATGAAATATTTATGGAGGGTACTGAGATCTGCTGGGTCCTGTGTTGGTGAGAAAGCACCCACACCCACAGGGAGGTGACAGGCAGGCAGAACAAAAAAGTCAGATTCTGGTCACTACAAGAGGGATGTGACCAGTACAGAAAAGGGGGTTGGACAGGCGAAGAAAGGGGGCCCTAAGGTGACCATTATTAAGCCAAGACCTGAAGGATCCAAGGAGAATGTTGTGTGGAAAGTGGGAAGACAAGTGTCTCTGAGAGAGGGAAAGGGGCCACGGGGACGGGTGCACACACGTAGCTCAGGGGCAAGAGGACCTCACAAATGCAGGGCCCGGATCTGAATTTTTGCAGTGCTAGGGAGTGAACTCAGTGGCACTTTACCACCGAGCTACATCTCCAGCCCCTCTGAAATTTTTGAGACAGGGCCTCGCTCAGTTACCAAAGTTGGCCTTGAACTTGTGATCCTCCTGCCTCAGCCTCAAGTTACTGGGGTTATGGGAGTGCACCTCCATCCCCAGCTTAAACCAGACATTCTATTTTTTTTTTCTAGTTGTAAATGGACATAATACCTTCATTTTATTTGTTTTTATTTTATGTGGTGCCAGGGCCTCACGCATGCTAGGCAAGTGCTCTGCCACCGAGCCACAATCCCAGCCCCTAAACCAGACATTTCTGAGAGTATAAGAAGGTGCTCTTAAAAACTGTCCCCTTGGTAAAATGAAACCTAAGCTCAGAGGTCCAAATAAGGATTTTTGGATTTTATTCTGTGTAAAGATGCCGTGGAAGGTGTTAAGGCAAGGAAGATGCACAGGTGAGACATAGGCTTTGCTCAGAGCTGCTCTCCGGCGGTCCTGCAGAGGAAACGGATCAAGCCAGACAGGAGGGACTGTGACTGTTCGAGGAGATGGGCTGCTTGCTGATGCACCGAGTGAGAGGAAGGAGAGAATCTGGGGCGAGCAGAAGGGAGGGCCTGGTGGGAAGGGAGGTCACGGACCTGAGCTGCTCCCTGGAACCAGTCGGCACCTGTACCATTTGCCTCTGCTTGGGCACTTCCCCACCCGAGACTGGGTGGCGGCAGAGTGCCTCCTCTCTCAGGCTGAAAACACCAGATACCTGCGTCTCCAGCCCCCCAGGGACAAGCACAAGCATGTCTCAGCAGCTCACGAATGGGTCCTCTATTGCCAGCTAGGGAGGGAAGAGACCACAGACCAGGAGGAACTCTGGTGGCACATACTCACTTTGCTACTGAGAGGAAGAAGTTTCTCAGGAGCCCCTAGAGGGGCCCAAGGCAGTCAGAATTCTAAGTAACAGGGCTCTACCCGGTATCCGACGGCATCTTGTGCATGAGAAGTCTAAGAAGTGGCTTTGGTGGGACTGAGTATATCTGCCACAAACGAATGAAAGGCCCATTTACCAGGATGCATGTTAAAAATCAATGTAAGCCTGGCACAGGGGCACACATCTATAACCTCAGCAACTCAGGAGGCTGAGGCAGGACGATCCCATGTTTGAGGCCAGCCTCAGCAACTTAGTGAGACCCTCAGCAACTTAATCAGACCTTGTCTCAAAATAAAAAATAGAAACAACTAGTTCGGTGGTAAAGTACCCTGGGTTCAATCTCCAGTACTTGTTGGTGGCTGAGGGGGTAGGAGGGGTTCAAGGTGAAGCTCTTGTTTGACAGGGGTCTCCCCTTCTTATAGTTCATAAAGTAATGTGCTTCTTATCATTGATGGTGTCTTTTGTCAAAAGATACTATGAGAGGTATCAGCACAGTTAGGGCATCGTGGACTGGGATGGTCACTTCTTCCTGTGGTAAACTGCTGAAAACTATTGACATTTTGCACTGGATTCTTCTTTGCCATGGAAGTCCCATGCATTAGAGGACATTTAGCGACCTCACTGGCCTCTGTCCAGTAGATGCAAGTAACACACATACCCTTCTCCAGCTGTGATAACTAAAAATGTCTCCAGATATTGCTAAATGTCCACTGGGGGAATAAAAAAAAAAAAAAACACACAACTCCATTAAAACTACTAGTATAAATAAAGAAAGAGTAACTTGAATTCTTAAATTCCCAATTGCTAATTCCTAAATTCCATCATCAATTGCTGTTTTTGGTTTGGTTTGGTTTGGTTTGGTACGGGGGATTGAACGCAGGGTTGCCCCACCATTGAGCCACAGCCCCAGCCCTTTTTAAAAATATACATTCTATTTAGAGACAGGGTCTCAGTAGGTTGCTTAGGGCCTCGCTTAGTTGCTGAGACTGACTTTGAACTTGCAATCCCCTTGCCTCAGCCTCCCGAGCTGCTGGGATTACAGGCATGAGCCACTGTGCCCAGTTAGGGATTGCTTCTTCTTTGCAGCAAGAGGGCTGAAAAGTCCAAAAGACAGATACTTGATCCCTTGAGTTGGCAAACTACAGTGTTAATTTAATTTGCAGCCTCACGGTGCTCCATGTGGAAACAGAACCTTGATTGATTGGGTGGGGACCTGGAGGATGAAGATGAAGACTACTTGTAATCTCCATCATCACTGGAATTCTGTTCAGGTTGCTCTGACCTTGTTTAAGGCTCTCAATAACCTCAGCAGAACTCACCCAATCAACAGAGCAGAAGCCAAATCTCCTCAGTATTCGAATCACTCTCATTTTCTTCAAACCTATTGACAGTCAAGATTCTAGGAGGACCCAGAGGTACACAGTCTCACCTAGAAGAATGCTTATTCACTAAAAATACCTGCAGAGACCCACACATCTACAGTCATCTGATCCTTGAAAAAGGTACCCAAAATATATTTTGGAGATAAAACAGCCTTTTAAACAAATGGTGCTGGCACAACTGGTCGTGCATATTTAAAAGAATGAAACTAGATCTTTATCTCTCACCCTGCACAAAAATCAACTCAAACTGGATCAGAGGCCTCAGAATTAGTCCAGTAACTATGCAACTTCCAGAAGAAAATGTAGGTTCAACACTTGTTTAGACATAGGCAAGACTTCCTCAATAGGACCCCTAAAGTTCAGGAAATAATGCCAGAGTTAATAAATGGGATGGCATCAAATTAAAAAGCTTTTGCACAGTAAAGGAAACAATTAGGAACGTGAAGAGAGCCCACAGAGTGGGAGAAAACCTTTGCTAGCTACTTTTCTGACTGAGGATTAATGTCTAGAATAAATAAAGAACTCAAAAATCTTCACACCAAAAAAATTAATATGTGGGCAAACGAATTAAACAGACGCTTCTCAAAGGAAGTACAAATGGCCAACAAATGTACGGAAAAATGTTCACATCATTAATAATTAGGAAAATGCAAATCAAAACTGCACCGAGAGTTCAGCTTATACCAGTCAGAATGGAAGTCATCAAGAATACAAATAGTAAATGCTGGGGAGGATGTGGAGGAAAAAAGAATTTACCACCCAACTGTTGGTTGGATGGTAAATCAGTACAACTGCTAAGGAAATCAGCATGGAGCTTCCTCAAAGTAGAAGACATCAAACCACCATATGATCCACTTATACCACTCCTCGGTATCTATCCTGAAGAGTTAAAGTAATCCCGTTATAGTGATGCATGCAAACCCGTGTTTGTAGTAGCCAAACCATGGAACTAGCTTTAGACATCCATCAATAGATACATGGATCAAGAAAATATGGAAAATATACACAATGGAATTTTATTCAGCTATAAAGAAAAATGAAATTATGTCACTTGCAGGGAAATGGATGGAACTGGAGATTGTGTTAAGCAAAAAGTCAAAATTCAAGGGCTGGGGATGTGGCTCAAGCGGTAGTGCGCTCGCCTGGCATGCGTGCGACCGGGGTTCGATCCTCAGCACCACATACAAACAAAGATGTTGTGTCCGCCGAAAACTAAACAATTAAAAAAAAATCAAAATTCAGAAGATGGAGGGTTGTATGTTTTCTTCACTTGTGGAAGCTAGAGGAAAAAGGAACAGAAAGGTGGGGGCGAATTTCCTAAAAAAAAACAACAGGAGATCAGTAGAGGAAAGGGTTCAAGGATGGGAGTCAGGGAGGGAGGGGGAAAGGACTGGGGAGTGACACTGGCCAAATGACATTGTGCGCACGTATGAATATGTAACAACAAACCCCAACAATATGTACAACTATAATACACGGGTAAAAAATGTGAGAAAAAAAATAAAAATACCTGTAGGAAGAAATCTAGCCAATACATAGCTGTATTTACCAACATGGGTAACGCATACCAGAGGCTTTACGTTCAACATGCTGGCTCAAGCAGCTAGGAGCAGCTCTAATTGTTTCCGTAGCTGGCCGAAACCAGGCCTCAATGGTAGCCCACGTTAAGTCAATCTGCTTCCATGGCTGGAGTGTGCTTTGCCCCCCAAAGGTGCACTTGCTGCAAGCCTGACCCCCAGTATAACAATGTTGAAAGGGAGTGGGACTTTTAAGAGGCAGGATGTGATGGGAGGTGCCTGGGTCATGACTGCCCTCATGAGGGGATTATTGCTGGTCTCCTGGAGTGGGCTAGGTCTTACAGGAATGGCTGACTTCCTGTGAGAGCCTGTTCTCATAACACAAGAAGCCTGGTCCTCTCTAGCTTACTTTACCCCTCACCATGTGAGCTCTCTTATAGGCACTCCTGCCATATGATACCACCTGCCAAGGGGCCCCCACAAGACACTAACACCATGCTGTTTGGACTTCCCACCCACCATGAACCAAATAAACCTTTTTTCTTAGTAAAGTAACCAGTTTCAAGTGCTTTGTCATAGAGACACTACATGGACTGTAACAGGTAAGTTACCAGAAATTCCCTGCAATAATGTTAGAAGAAATCCAAAGCCTTGGAGAGATACAAGAGTGTTTTATCTTGTATGATTGGACCACTCAAACTCTCTCTTTGTTCCCTAAAAGAGCTCAAAGGATACTCCATTCACAAGGCTTTCAGAAATAAAGGATTTCATGAGTTCTAATTCTCTGAAGTGATGACAGCAATTGACTGAAGCTCACACTTTGATATGGTTTGTTTAATCTAAGTGGTTCATAAAATAATAGTGCATCTCAAAACTGATGGTGGTTAGAATTTGATTAAATTTGAGATCTAATTGGGAGGGCTGTTAGCATATTGTAAGATCTTTGCTGTGGCTGTTCCTCATTGGGCAGATGATAGTAGGAAATGCTGATTTCAGTGGGAGAAAACTAAACCACTTGGGTAGTAGAGACAAGAGTAGAATTTAATTTCCAGGGGAAAAGCTATGTGTAATTCCATAATAGCAACAAAACCAGCATGAACAACAGCTAAAAAATCACGTGTTCTAAGGATTAAAATGGATGGGCAGCTCACTGGTGTCCCGTTCCTACTATGGGCCCAGCAAATGAGGCCTGGGTTGAATGATAATAAAGAACAGCCACTCACACTGTTCCCAGGACTCTTCAGTGACGTGTATACTCCTTGCAAAAGGTTGCTATGGCTTAGTACCACACAAATGCATTTCCCCCTTGATTGACAGGACCAAGCTCCCTATGGAGCCCTGGGGAAGAATCTTTCCTTACCTCCTCCAAGCATTGCTTGATCTCCCTGGCTTGTAGTTACCACTACGATCTCTGACTCCATCAACACGCATCTCTATATCTCTGTGCATGGCAAGGGGCCGGGGGTTTCTGGGAATTGAGCCCAGGGCCTTGCATGTGCTATGTACATTCTCTCCCACTGAGTTACACCCCCAGCCGCTCCCCACATAAGGACACCAGTCATTGGATTTAAGGACTGTCCTAATCCAGTATGATTTTATCTTGACCCAATTACATCTGCAAAGACCTATTTCCAATTAAGGTAAAATCCACAATATTATGGTTTAGTGGTGAGGTGTTCCCCAAAAGCTTACATGTGAGACAGTGCAAGAAGATTCAGGAGAAATGATTGGGTTAGGAGAGTCTTAACCCAATCAGTGAATTAATCACCCGAGTGGTCACTGAAGGCAGGTGGGGTGTTTCTGGAGGAGGTGGGGCATTGGGAGCATGGCTTTGAGGTACACATTTGTACTTGGCAAGTAGAGATGTCTCCCTCTGCTTCCAGATCATCACTGTGAGCTGCATCCCCCTGCCACACTCTTCTACCATCATGTCCTGCCTCACCTTGAGCCCGGAGGAATGGAGCCAGCTGTCTGTGGACTGAGACCTCTGAAACCGTGAGCCCCCAGATAAACTTTTCCTCCTCTATTGTTCTTGTCAGGTCTTTTAGGGAGATCAGTGAAAAAGCTAACTAACATACAGCGTCAGGGGTTGGGCCCTGAACATATCCTTGCAGGGCTATTGAGCCTCCTAATCTTCCCCTATATCCTACTTCTACGAGAATCAGGGTCTCAGTTTCAAACATTAGAAACCAATTCTGTGCTTTCAACAGAAAGTGAATTTATTAAGAAGAGAATCAGTTAGCTAATAAAACACTGGGGTAGCCAAAGAATCAGGCTTCAGTCAGAAGCCATGTCCAGACTCTCCCACACTGCTCTGGTGAGGTCATGGTCTGCTACCACCCAGGGTACTACAGTTAGCACCACTGACGCCATGAAGGCGGATTCTAGACTGCATTTCTGAGAGATGCAGCCCTCAGGGACACTGTCGGTAAGAGGTCCCTCCATTTACTTTTATGATTGGGCACCACAGGGAATCCCCTGGGTCCCATCCATATTCCTCCCTGCTTCATTATTTAGCAACATGAGACTCACAGCAAGAAGAGTAGACCCGGGCTGGGCTTGTGCTCAGTGGCAGAGCGCTTGCCTAGCACGTGCAAGGCCCTGGGTTGGATTCTCAGCACTGCGAATAAATAAATAAAGTGAAGGTCTACTGACAACTAAAAAAATATTTTAAAATATTAAATATAAAAATAGTAAATATAAAAAAATGTTTAAAAAAAAAGAAGAGTAAATCTTTTTTTTTTTTTTTAATTTTAATATTTACTTATTTTTTTTAGTTTTCGGCGGACACAACATCTTTGTTTGTATGTGGTGCTGAGGATCGAACCTGGGCCGCACGCATGCTAGGCGAGCGCGCTACCGCTTGAGCCACATCCCCAGCCCCAGAAGAGTAAATCTTAAAGCTTAGTGCTCCGCTGACTTTGCCTTGCGGTGAGTCCCGTGGAGAAGCCCTGTGCTCTGCGGGCCACTGTGGTGGGACAAGGAAGGCCTTCCAAGTCTGTGTGCAGAGCGGGGCCAGCACAGGTCCAGAAGTTGCTGCTTTAGCAGTCTTCCTACCCCAAGGCCACTTAGTCGTGAACCTGACAAGCAGCCATGAGGTAACAGAGAAAGAAGGGAACTGACATACACAAGAAACCATCTAGACCACCAGATTCCCCAGAGCCTCCCCAAGTGACACACAGCCACACTCTCCAGATGCACCCAGGCCATCTGTGCCTAAATCCCATGCACCACTCCTGCTCCCTCCAAGTTCCTAAGAGCACTAGCTATTGTCTGTAAACCTGCTCACATCCTCACCTCAGAGTCACTCTCCTTCAAAATTAGTAAGTAAATAAACAAACAGCCATGAAATGCACTATTCAAAGTCCTGGCCATTGGAAGAATTTTCTTCCCAGCCTTTTCTTTAGGGTCTCCCCTAAATAGGGCTATCATCCTCTAGCAGCCCACCGGTGGCACCTGTGGCCAGCACCAGCCCGTTATCCCACACCATCTACAGCAGTCTTGACCTCCACACTCCTCAGACAGCTGATCACAGGGCACCAGCTCCCTCTGGCCCTGGAGAATGGACTGAGGGGAGGGGGCCACCTGCTGAGGATACGAGGCACCCTAGAATTTTCATGAGTCTTTCTTTAGGACCTACTCAGGCTAAATCTGATAATGGAAAGCTGCAAAATAATCCTTGAGAAAAACAGGAGGTATGAAGTAATGATGATAAAAATCAACAATGAAATAGAAACCAAAATCCAATAGCAGAAATAAAAAACAAAAAAAGAATTTTGGTCTTGTTTTTCTTTTTGAAATTGGGTCTCACTATGTTGACCAGGGTAGACTTGAACTCCTGGGCTCAAACAATCCTCCGGCCTCAGTCTCCCAAGTAGCAGGGACCAAAAGCATGTGCCACCACACCTGGCAATCAATCAATCAATCAATGATTTCTTAAGGGTAATAAATAATAAAACCTTTGGGAAAATTAATCAAAGGGGAAAATCCAAAGGCATAAATAATAAGATGTAAAAATAATAACAGATATTTAAAGCATAGGTCATTATGAACAAATGCTGATAAATTTGAGGCAGAAAAGATGGACATTTTCCTTTAAAAAAAACTTCAGAGTAACTGTAGAAGAAATAATAATTTGTCCTATGATTAAAAAGAAAGTGAATAGGTAATCATTACTTTTCCAAAAGTGGGTTTGAAAGATCAAATAATTCTAGCCTTGCACAAACTTTCCATAACACAGTCTGCTCTACTGCAAAATATCTGTAAAAAGAATTAGTTTATAATAATAGTGATTGGCCATTTATAATGATAGTGATTGACCATTAACAAAACATGAACAGTACAAGCCAAAGAAAGAGACTGATGGCTTCATCGAAGTTAACAACTTGTGTTCACCAAAAGAAATCACAGGACGTACGGTTTCAGCTAACAAGAGTAGAGATGCTGAGCAAGGTGTGGTCTTACCATCTGTAATCCCAGCTACTCAGGAGGCTGAGGCAGGAGGAGTTCTAGTTTTGAGGCCAGCCTTGGCAATTTAGCAAGACCCTGTCTCAAAATAAAAAACACAAAAAGTACTTGCCTAGCATGTGTGAGGTCCTGGGATTAATCCCAGGTACTAAAATAATAATAATAATAATAATAATAAAGAAGAGAGATCTGGAACAAACAAACAACAACAACAAAAAAAAACTTCACTCTTATTCCTACAACAAAAAAAGGACTGAGAAACCAAAAAAAGAATGATGACTCTTCCTCAGCCCATTGGAGAACTGAGGTCATGAGGGAAAATTCTACACTGAAAACTAGAGGCAGGGGGCGACTTCAGGAAAAACTGGCCAGAGCATTTGCTTACCCAGAGACGGCCAGCTAAAAGATTTTTCCATTTGTTCCTTCGCTCACTGCGATGCTGGGAACGGATCTCAAGGCCTCGTGCATGTTAAGGGCTCTGCCACCCAGCTAACACCCCAGCTCCAGGTAAATTTTTACATGAATAGCTAAAGGCCGGGCACAGGCTTGTGAAAGTGCAAAGCTCTAGGAGCGTGCACATCAAAAGGTTTCCAGCAGGTCGTGAGAAGGAAGCCAACAGCCGGGCGCAGTGGTGCACGCCTGTGATCCCAGTGGCTTGGGAGGCTGAGGCAGGAGGACTGTGAGTTCAAAGGCCAACCTCGGCAACTTAGCGAGATCCTGTCTCTAAATAAAATATAAAATATAAAGCAGGCTGGGGATGTGGCTCAGTGATTAAGTGACCCTGGGTTCAATCCCCAGTCCCCCCAAAAAGGAAGGAAGCCATTGCTGAAACTCCAGGCAGGCCCATATCCTTTAAGAAGCGCAGGGTAGGGTGAGAAGCGGCTTTCAGGTGGAAGCCCTCTGAGCCGGGGAAGAGAAAAACGCCCTTTAAGGGCCATGTGCTAAGCAGAACATGGAGGGAAGAGGCAGGAGGGCTGGTGAAGGCCATGCCCTCAAGCAGCAAGTTACCAGTGCCTAAGTGACTCTTAATCAGAACATCAGAGAATGTCCCTCCCCTGCTCCACAATGCCAGCAAGTGGGTGTAACAATGGATACTGCTGGGGGCAGCCAGAGAAGGGAGACTCTCAGGGGACCATCAAAAAAGACCCACAGCCAGGCAGAGAGAAGGGCGGTGTTACTAAAGGACTTTGTGGGGTGCACTGAAGTTTCTATAGCCACAGCAGACATCAAGCACAACCCTGGACTAGAGCAATAAAAACCCACACTAAAGACATAGCAGAAGAAAAGTGCCTCTGGTTGCCGTGGGCAACCACTGATGGACCTTCCGTCTAAAGATCTGCCTATCCTGGACACGTCATGTACATGTTATCATACAGTATGGGGTCTTCTGACAGTTTATCTGCAAGCTTTCCTTCTGCCTTTTATTTTCAAAGTTCATTCATGTTGTAGCCTGTGTCACAATCCGCTGAATGATATTCCACTACATGGATCGCCTACATTTGGTTTATCCATTCAGCATTTGATGAACATTTGGGTTATTTCAACATTTAAGCTATTCTGAATAATGTTGCTATGAGTATTTGTGTACAGGTTTTTACACAGATGTATGTCTTTGTTTCTCTTGGATATAGACCTAGGAGTGGAAGTGCTAAGTCATAAGGTAACTCTGTGTTTAGCATTTAGAAGAACTGCCAAACTGTTTTGCACTGTGGCTACACATTTGACATGGCAACCACCAGTGTTCTGTGGGTCCAGTTTTCTTGCCTCCTCACCAACAATTTCATCTGCCCTTTTCATTATGGTCATGTTAGTGGACATGAAGTGGTTCCTCACTGTAGTGTTAATTTTCATTTCCCTGATGACTAATCAAATCCGGCACTATATAAAAAAGACAGTATATCACAACCAAGGGATGTTCATCTCAAGGACAGTTCAGAATTTGAAAATAAACATT